TAGATTTACTTTGCCCCGGCCATAAAGAACTAGAATTCTTCTCGACAGAACGTTATCTTGGAAGGAACTAAGTTTTAGATTAATCGCGTAAGAAAGAGAGACGTTTCTTTCTGCACGAAAGTGTCTGAAGTTTTATTCTTTCGCCGATTTAGGATAACAATATATTCAATGAAACACCCAGGGTTCTCTAAAAGACATCTACCTGAGACTCAGTCCACGGAAAATTCACAAGTATGCCACATTAATAATCTTGATTCTTCCTTATTCGTGATAATCCAACAGAACTTCGAAAAATAAGCATGAATACTGAACCCTAGTTGGCTGTCTCATACAGAGAGCTGTTTTTGCATCATTAAAGCATGGAAATACACAAGGAAAATTGGAACGCACTTGTCGGAGGTATCGCCACCCGAGAGAAGGCGCTGGACATCAGCCGTCGTAGAGAAGAGCGCGAGCCAGTCAGGCCTGATCAGTGAACAGAATCCCCTGCGAAAGGCGGTGACCTGGGCGTGAAGCTGGCGTCGCACACGCCACTCAGCCATGCGATGAACATATAGAATCCGGTTGTCATCCTGCACGCTCACCATCCGACCACCCTCCACCAACTCGTGCGTCACGATTTGGCCCAGCACATCCTCGTCACACGTGAACGTCAGTTCTAGCTGGCTCACGTCCCCGTCGTAATGTTTGATGAAGATAAGGCTCTTGTACAATTCTGGGTCGAGCGATGGCAGTTCGTCCAAGCACGAATACGCAGCATAGGTTCCCAACGCAGACGAAACCACCTTTTCGTAGGGGCAAAAATGAAATCAACGCATCCTTCTCGACGCATCCCTCCTCTCGTCACTCGACCTTCCCGCTGTACCTGAGACAAGAAGAACTGCGCAAACTTGACGTCCAAAACGATTCCTTCATACACGGCCTTTCCCAGCATTTTGCCAACAAATTCAAACAAGTGGTCGCATTCAGCTTCACCAGCCGTGAGACGGGCAGTTGGCGACGGGTACAGGCAACCATCGGCAGTTGCCCGGAAGAGATTCATTTGAGGGTCAAACACTCGCTTCACCGTTTCTTCCAAAAATTCTTTGAATACACCATCCTGGTCGATCCCGGCCTCATCCAGCCCCTGAACATTCACAAACTTCACGCGGACAGGACCTTTGAGTTGGGCACCCGAAAGACCAGCCAGTTGGCGGTAACCGTCCTCCACGAGATACCTATTGGAACACGAGCTACAATGTTTCAACTGCCTCCTTGCCCACCTAACCAGGAGCAGTATGCCTCGCAATCGAAGAAAAATAGAAAACAACTGTACTGTACTGTACTTTCCGTCCGACATGGACAAATGTCACGCCAGCCTTCCCTTGTGCTGAATCTTTCATCGACAAAAACACGAATCTTCCCTGATTTTCGCTTCTCTAGAAAATACGCGTTTCAAAAAACAGAGCAAAGAAAATCCAATCTATTCTACGAAGGAAAATTCCAAATAGCACTAAAAAAATATTTCGGTCCAAATTATTCCGGACTCTTACAGTATTTCCTTCGCTCCCCATCGTGAATGCAAATAAGGGCCAGGCAGCACAAGCCAGCCATGTGACGTACTCTACTCTGGGTTGTCGAGATATTACACAGGTGGTTGGGGAACGGTCAGCCACGGTGTTGTGGTAGTTGACCACTCATTAAACAGTACAGTACGATTCAATGCAGCATTCGCATCCAAATTGGAAAGATACATATACGAGTACCGTATACAGGATCCATAGCGTCCCATCTAACAACTGGAAGGCTTCGTAAATGCAAGAATCATAACTAACTGCTGTCATCGCTTGGCATGACTGCAACCGGGAGGAAGGTAAAATGCAACGAGTAGAAGCTAGTAGTAGCTGAGCAATGCGATCATTTCTCATAGCGTATCCCAAGCGATTCCGTGAAAATTATGAGCCCTGGACACGGCCGCGGCTTCAACTCATGTTCAACTTGACGACAGATAAACAGACAGACGAAGAACCACCCGCACGAAACACATATTCAGCATGCAAAGAAAGAAAAAGGGGACTGAACCCCCGTCCAAGAATGATGCGTTTTACGAACCCTCTCCGGACAGTGATGAGCGTGCACGACGTGGCAGCGGTACACGTTCCCGCAGACTTGTCTCTGGACACCAAATCGCGGAAAAGCACAATGCGATGCGTGTGTGGCACCACGTGCGGAATGATTTGCATCACACGTTTGGCTCTCGTCCGCATTTTGTCCACGTCAGTCAGGAAGGACGAAGTGCATGCCTCAGGAACGAGCCAATGGCCGGACGGACAAAACTTCCTTCGGGCATCTCTTTGGTACATCACCGACAGCAGTGCCAGCACCGACTGTGGAAGCCCAGCCGTCTCCCGATCGTCGGCAGATGACGAGTACACTGCTTGGAATACCAGTCGATTCACAAAAGCCGCAATCGCCACCAGCTCATCTTGCCGGAATGGCTTCTGCTTCTCGTACAGTTCATCCTCGTCGAGAATTCTGAAACGAACGAATAGAAATATGACACACTTGAACCTCGAGAACTCGAACCTTCGTAAGTCGAATACCTGCGTATGTCAAATTTTTGTCAAGCCCCTGTCTGGATCACCCGCAGAATCAATTCATTAAAAGCCTCCCTTTTTCGGAAGTTTTCCCCTCAAACCTCCATAACTCGAATTTTTTGGGATTCTTTTGGTTATTTCATTGACATAGGAAAGCGAAAATGAAAAATTAAGTTAATGCCCTTTGAAAAGATTGAAAGATTGATTGGGCGAATTAATCCTTATCTCCAAGTTCAGCATCCTGTCAGCCCATTTAAAATGCCATTCCATGCACAGAACATCAGCAATTAAGATTTCCTGTCTTAGTTCGCTCTTCCACTCAACAAAAATGCTCGTTTCCCCAACTCGAACAACCTCCAAAACTCGATGTTTTTCTGGTACTGTACCTTGAGGTTCGACTGTATTTGAAAATTGTATACTGTACGTACTTTTTTGCATTTACACGCGAACGGTTGAAACCACCGAAAAACGCGAAATCAATGTGTTTCACCCAAAACAACATGCAACTCATACAGGGGACTGGCTTCACATGTATTCCCAAAAAAAAACGAAGGAAATGAAAACAAGAAATTATTTCTACCTGATCAACCCTCAAAAATGCGATTGCCTTCGATCATTCATCAAACGTTAACCTTACATCCTCAAAAAACGGCGCAGAAAAGAGGATCGAGAATTACTAGGGACAGTGCGGCCTCATAAAACTGCTCTCTTTGAAGTTTTCACGTACTTCGTGATTTTCTACATGGATGAACGAAAAATTTTCTAGACCAAAATCCACGGAGTTCCGCGCATGAGGAAGCAATTGGCAATTCTTTTGCACGCATCAGATTAAAAAGCGGATCTGCTCTTTCTGACATAGTAAACGGTATTGGGACAAATGAAGAAGTTTCAAAAACTTTTTCTCAACACGACAGTTCGAGAATTAGGCTCTGAATCGTTACACGGATTCGGCATGGATACTCCTTCCACCAAATTCAAAAAGTTGGCACCCGAATTGTCCTGTTCGCAAGGGAAAATGGAAATAGTAAGCAGAAACTTCGTGTACACAGGGTACGCCCGAAACTGGACTAACAATCAGGTTACTCCGCATATACCACCGAAACAACTTGACGAAAACTCACGTAAGTAAATGTGCTGAGGCATCGCAAAAGAGTGCAAGAAGGTGCCAACTGCTTTTGGGTTTGCTCTTGCCCGACAATAGGTCAAGCCACTGTCCAAGTCCTCCAATGCCATGACCCAGCTTCCGGAAAAGTCTGCGCCACATGCCGGCCACCAATGACCCGTTCATAACGCACAAACCTGATAGAATGCCTATCCGGTGTTGTCTCAGAACTCGCAGAGCAGAATTGTACATGTGAGCCGCGGATGTTACTGGAGCCACTTCGGATCCATCCAACTTCCACGAGGACAAGTCACCCTGAGGCTGAAGCACCTGAGACAGACTCGTCGTCGGTTGCTGTCCACTCGCTGCACTGCTTCCCGAATTGAACAGCAGTTGACGAATACCAGAAACGGACCACACAGCCGAAGACGATGCACTTGTCGTCGAAACGGACAACTCATAGATCCTATCGTCGCCATCCATCACGGGATCGCGCAAGCGTAATTCTTCAAAGACGAAATTCAGTATGGGCAGCGACCACAACCGCTCCAGCTGCGTCAACACAAGCGGCAACGTCTCATGACTGCCACGGGTTATGGGTCCACTGCTCCAACCAAGAATCGGGTTCCATACACTCAGGGACAATTTGCCAGGTCCTGAACTTTCCGACTGATCGTCTTTGACACATTCATCCAACAGCCGCACAACGCAGGTTACCACATTGCACCGAAAGTCCGGTGCCTAACAATAGCAAACAAACAGGAACGCACAAAAATCATCAATTTCATTCAATCAAGTCGATCCAAGTCAGTACCGACATCCAGCAGCCCAGGATTATCCTCTGAATTTCCAAGCGTTGTATGAACCAGGTGTATCACGTTCCCAAGGAGGCTGATGAAGGCATTGCTTCCACAAGTTCGGACTTGAGCAAAAACCCGGTCTGATGAGCCATCACAGGCTGCGAGCAGTCCAAGGCTCCTGGAGATCACCCGTTTTTTTGCCATCAGCCTCAACATCTTTGAAGAAAATGACCACATTTCATGAAGCAGGACTTCTTGGAAAAAATGGTTAAAATCTCGACAAAGTGATTTCGCGGGAATCTCCAGCCATTTACGAGCACGTGAGACTCAAAAGATGTAGAAGAGGAAAGGTTTCGCACCTTTTAACCTTGAATCGAACTCCGTCTTCTATGAGCTTTCACGCGAGGAAAAGCACTCCAACGTATCATTTCTCACAGAAGGACAAGACGCTTTGCTTTCGAAAATTACCCATACCTTTCCGAAAAGTCATGAGCTAGAAACCCCCGGAAGGGTGCTTGATTTCTAAAAGAGGTTTTCTAAATGTAAACCGTCTTCCTGTCATTAAAACCGACCCTAGTCTTCCTCGAGCTTTCCCTCAATAAGCATCGAAGTAATTTTCATCGAAGTACTGCAATTCATTTTGGTCCCCAAGGGAACATTGTAGGTATTGTAGAAATCCTACCTATTTGCAGGCTTCATTACAAGTAAAATATAGGGAAGCTTTTATTTTTATTCACTTCATACGGTTCACTCAATTCAGAAAAGAGATTGAAATTCCCAACCACGTTCCATGGCATTCCAACATAAGACTCTCTACTCCCGACCATGCGGCCCACTACTACCCAGCTGAGTACCACTGCTATTGCGCGCACATAATTGTTACACCAGACATCTACAGCGGTACTTCAGACAAGGAACCAAATTTGTGTCATACCGGGACTTTCTTTTTGAGGCAATCCTTGTTAGATACAGTCTACCATGCCCATGATCAAAACTTACGTACGCACAACCAGCAAAAAATAGGAATGAATCTCATGCCTCAACCATTCGTCCCAAGATACACCTTCGCTGCAATGCATCACGCAGGTATCAGTGACTAAAAGTACGCTATAATACACGATCAGGAAAATTATTTATAACTTTTCTTTAGACAACCAGAAGACGGAAATTGCACTTGGTTTACTCAAGAATCTCATCGACCGCTATGAGACAGTACCCATTTTGCCATTCTCCGGCGATAAACAAGAAATGAGACCATTGTTTGGGACTGGTTCCTCTTCGTGTGATTTAGGTTTCGGGAGGAACGCAGGTTTGTCGCGAGAGGAGTACCATTGTAGTAGTGGAACTTATTGGTACTGCTGACATACCTCAGGAGAGGTTTCCTGGATGCGATGCACGAAGACAGGTACACACAGGACGTGGACCACGAACTGCGCAAGCATGTTCTGTTCTCTCGCAGCATCTAATCCCAGACCACGCAAGGTTAGGGTGACCACTGCCAAAAGCTGCGGGTGACCAAGATTTGCCCCGTGGCGCTTGAGCATTTCGCCGAAGCGAGTGTAAAGCCCGCCATCTCGACACAGGTGCGCCAGAAACATATCACACAGCTTGACCAGAATTGGACTAGATGTCACTTCGGGCGAGCACCAGGACTGCGTACTAGTAAACGTGACAAGCACGTGTAACACTGCGGCAAGATGACGATCATCTCTCCCGGGCACCATGCCATGCTCCGATGTAGCTGCATCCAGACAGAGGCCCAACCACTGCTTCATACCCCGGATCCACGCGGCACCGTGCGAAGGGTCCAGAACGACAGACATGAACGTCGTACTGACCGTTTCGCCAAACTGCATGCTGTGTACCATGTATCTGAATTGAAGTCAATTCAAGCCTTTGGTTTACGCATGGAACCCGATTTGAAAAATTCATGAAATACACACACGAATACCGAAAACATTAATCTCGCGAGTTCCTTTTGACACGAGGGTAAGGTCACAATCAATTTCGTATGTCATTTTAAACATTGAAATGAAACGAGGATTTCTGAATCAGGAAGAAAAAGTTATTCTTCTCATCAATCCATCTCCTGCTGAGAGGTGTTGTATCTTTACTAATAAAGTTACTAATCTCCGTAGGTGAATGTGTACCCATTATTTTTTTACTCTACCCTGCACCACCTCCAAGAGACCAGGGTTCCATTCACAGAAAACGGGCGGTTTTCACTTTAAAAA